AAAAAAAAATGAAAAAAAGAAATACTCTTTACAAAACGAAAAAAAATAATATCAAATGTGGTTTATATGCTTTGTCAAAAATTAGGAATGAGGTCAAAAATTAGGAATGAGGTTTCAGTATAAAGAAAAAGCAAGCAACTTTAGAGAAATATTTAAAAAAAAAAAAAACTGATTTACAAAAATAATAAATAATGTTTTCGTTAGATCTTTAAAAAGTTAATATTTTATTCATTTAATGAGATTATTAATTGTAAACCAAAAAGTACTCATTTGTTTCAAACAATCGAAATTGGATATAAAACCAGACACTGCTTTTGTAGTCAAACCTAACCAATAAAAACGTTAAAATAAGGTGGGCGGGGGTTGGTTCTTCATATGCCCACCCATAAAGTGTTTAGGAAATCGAGAAAAGGTCAACAGGATCAAGGTTGACTACTTCATGCTGACCTTTGTTGTACCGTGCTGTACCAGCACAGAGAGTGAATCACTCCATCCGTCGGATAAATTTTTATGGAAATTTACTGAATTTATTATCAAACAAAATTATATCCATCAGTTAAATTGTAATCTTTTGAGTTAAAATTATATCTTGAGCTTTAGACTCCTTTTATCTTCAATTAATTGTTTTTTACTCAAACTCATTTTCTATTACATGTTTACACAATGAGAGAGCGTTTAATTACGAATATAGAATTTGCATGGAAAGAAAATAAATTTTAGACAATTCAATTACCTAGAACTTATTTGTATGAAAATTATTAATTAAATGTATTTGATTGATTTAGTTTTCAAATTGGAAAACATTATACTCGTCCACTAATTTATTTTTTTTAACTCAAAAGATTACAATTTAACTGGTGGATATAATTTTGTTTGATAATAAATTCAGTAATTTTACCAAAGTAAGTAATTGTTACAAAAGACGTAGCCCGATGATTTTACAATGTATCATTACACGTTCAATGGTTGTGATGTTATACACTCGAGTTACATGCAATTTTACTACCTCACATTGCTATGCTATATAATGGTTTCTATATTATTTCAAAGATATCGGAAAGTCGTACCATCATGCATGTGCCTAAA